ATTAGCAAGTACTGTAGCTGGCTTATCTGTGAGACAAAGAACCAGAAAATGTCCCAAAAGCATGGAAAGTTAAAAAAAATATTTGAAACATGTACTGACATGGATAAGGGTTGATAATGTATTATTTTGAAGTCTATGCACCATAAAAAAGAGCCTTCATTCCAACTTGAATATTATTGAAAAGAGACATCTTTTAGGTGAATTATTCATAACTAAATACTTGTAGATAAACTGTTTAAGAAATATCATGTTTATCTGCTTTATAATTATTTGTGATTGGTGCTATTCATTTTTGTACATGATAGATAGAAAAATATTTTGTTGCTTTTTTTTTTTGCATTAAGTATCATGCTTTTATTAACCGGGCTTGTAGCTTCAATATACCAAAAGTGACTGACTGAGCTGTATCACAAAGTCAAATTCACTCGATTGATTTTCAAATGAGAAAATTATTACACACTTGTACAGGTATTTGCAGACTCATATGATTTCAGCTTATAAGTTAGGGGTTTGCTGTTTTTAAGTAGCCACTCGTCTTTTTCACTTAAGATGTCAGAACTTCCAACTCCTCATCATATGATTGAACTATCCTTAATGGATAAAGTTTGTCTTATCAGCAAACATAAATATGTAGCAGAAATGACATTGAAGAAACTACGGAAAATATATGGCATAGGAACATCTACTTCTTTTTTTCAAAAGAAAATGGAATGATACAAGAATTAATTTGAAAACAAAGAGAGATATGCAGAGAAGTTTTATTTCAAATATGTTTGCAAATTTAACAGGCTGACTGTTCATGTTTAGCCAACCTAGGACCAAAAACATTTCAATCTAATGTCTTAATCTCTTTTTTCAAAGGTGCACTTGAAAAAAACTAATAATTTTTTCACATAACACCAAAAACCTCTCAAGACCAAAAGAAAAATGTGTTTCCCTAGTGTTTTCAATTATGAGAGGTTTTTACTGTATTCTTCCTTATATTCAGTTATTGTTTATATTAAAGTGTACACTAAGACAAGTGTCCTTCTGTTCTGAACAGGACCAAGATTAATCATAAAAATATTTAGGTAAAGATGTACATTCATAAGAAGCTTTTAAATTTAATATACACAACCTTAATATTTAATAGGAAACTTCACATTAAAATATATCATCAGTGACGTCAAATAAACCAGTCATCTTCAAAAGAATCCTAGACTGTGTAAGGTATCTGTTTTCCAGATTTCAGAAAATCATATGTAGAAGCCAGATTGTCAGTCCTTGTTGTCAACTGAGTTTATGATATATGACTAAGGTGTGTTTGTGCATGGACTTCTACCCACCTGCAAGATTAGTTTTACCATTCTTATTATGTTGTCTTAAAAGCAAATTAGACTGTCATTAAGACTTTTAATTTTACTAATTGGGCTTTTTTAAAAAAACGCTTTCTCAATTTGAACTTGAATGTTGTTAATGATTTATATTTTACTCTATTAGAAAATTAAGGTGTTAAAACTATATTGAGATTGTTTATAAATAAATATTATTATGTCAATAATATTCAGAATACAAATTTTTAAATCCAGGTTAATTTGAAAAAGTAACTCAGTTTTAAGTTTTACGTAGACTGTTGAAGTTGCATGAATGAAGTTATCTGTCATAAACTTTCCAAAAAATATTACAATGTTGGATATAGTAACAGAATATCAGGATATATGGTGTTTGCAGTTGGAATCAACTTGTAATCAACTTATATACAGTACATTTTTTTACAAGTGAGGTGTGAGTGATTATAGCCAAGTGTGGTAAATATGAGACTGCAACATTTACATACATAAATGATTCATTTCTTTGTCAATACCAGTTTTAAAAAGTGGTAAATGTGTAAATGAACATTATTGGTAAACGTATAAATGAACATGCATAATGAACGTGCTTGTGGCTATCAGTGATGAAAGGATCATCTTGTTCCAATTAAATGATATATTTTCACAACTCTTCTTAAAAGTTCTGCTTCATTTCCTGCACACAATTATGCAACAATAAACACCAGATTATTAACAATTTTAGTTAAACTACACTATTTACCTTTGAAAACCATAGTTACAAATGGAACCTATCGTTAGTAATATTTGTTTTTAAGTAAACATATTATTAAACTTAAAGTTTAAAGTTTAAAGTTTCTTAAACATTGTAGATTGTGTAAAAAAAAAAAGATCACATGCATGTGTATGCACAATACATCTAATTGCATTATTATATTTTTCCATCATGTACAAGTATGTAAATGTAGGAAACAATATCACAGGAATCCTTGGGATGTTTCTTCTAAACTGTCAGATGTATTTAACAAAGACACATTGAATACTGTCATATTAAGTAGTAAAAGATGTATAGAAATTAAAACAATCACAAGCTAAGCAAGGTATGCTTTATAATAACAGTCAAGTGTTAAGTAAAATTAATGGGTCAATGTGATCAAGTTTCTAATAATTTTAGTAAAATGTTGTCATTTTGGTTATTATAAACCATGCACTGATTTTGGAAATTCGGAAACAGTAACTGCATTAGCTTATGAGCTTGTATGAAAGGGAGGCTCTGAATTTAACAATAATGGGATCAAACCATTACAGTTATAATGGGACATTTTTTTTTCATGCCTTATTGAAAATTCAAGTAGCAAATTCACTACTACCTGATGAACAAGAATACATTGTCCACAAAATGCTTGGCATCACAAATGATGGATTAATCAAAGTTGACTGCTAGAGAGGTACAGTGACCTTCACCCTTTATCCCCAGAGTGAGATAAAATGAATTCATTATGATTTTTAGGTGCAGTTTTATTTTTAGGCATGTTTACTCAAATCCTATGTTTTAATAATCACTGACATAATGACCCATGTATTGAAGAATACTGACTGAATCCAAAAAGGATTTTTCTTAATTTATTCTAGAATTACACTATGTACACAGAACTAATCAGTTGAAATACTCTCTGGGATTTCTGTTTTGTTATAAGTTATGGAACACTGAAATGCAATTTATTATCTTTGTGCTTTGAATGAACGTTGTGTTTACACTTGATTAATAAAAGACAGCCATTCTTGTTTGTGCCAATTTTAGTCAATATTTAGAATTTTTATGTATTCATTCATTAAAATGTATTCATTCATTATAACTGTCCAGGGAAGCCGTAGAGTATACGTTCTTTATATTGAACCTACTTAATATAATGAAATATTCCCTTGTTATAATGCTGACTCAGTAAATAGTATAAAATTTATGGTGAAGTACATAATATACCACTCTCTCATTATAATTATATAAGGACTGAGTCAACAACTTTATTGAGCCACCTCATAGAGAAGTACATAATGTGATACTCCCTCATTATAATGTTAGTGGGAGGCAAGAGTATACCCACTTATAGTGAGACAACTCTTTTAGCAAAGTACACAATACAGTGCATGTTATAATGCTGCAAGTGTGAGCCATACAGCATTCCACTGTGACTCCAGCAAGTCCATGTGTAAAAGTTTAAGGACACACAGTACTAATTATATGGAAGAACTGCTTACCAGTCTAGAAATGGGTGAATAAAAAATATACGGGTTTGGTGGTCCATAATTGGTTAATAATGAAAAGTAAAATTTTAGTAAAAATATCTTTTGAAAGCTTATCCTATGTGTGATTTAAAAAAAATATATAGACAAATTTCTATTGATGCAATTTTAGTATTTTTAAAGACTTGACATAGATTATTCAAAAATGAAAGTAGCACTTGATTCACTTGGTGAAGAATCAATAACATGTGCTTCATGCACATGTAGGTCAAAAAAAATGTTGTGTCTCATATGGTGTTCTCCACACAAGCTTGCACCAAGGATAGTTGTGCATGGAGAAATAGTCTGATCATCAGTACCCAGAAATTTTAGATTATTGAATCTTAAATATGATGATGTTTCTATATGTTTACTATGGGAGTTGAATTAGTACCATAACTCCTTAAGAGGCTGAGTGGTATAAGATACTTGCCTTTTTCAGATCACTGTTATCTCCCTTCTGTCCATGTGGGTTCCAGTCTCTGGCTTGGCCACCAAGGTTATGTGAGAAAGCTTCCCAGCAGTTCCCATGGGTTGGTGGTTCTTTTAGGGTTTACCAGAGTTCTTTTTCCAAAAAATATTCTTGGCACCATGTATAACTTATGTGCTGAAAAATGACATTAAACCCTACAACAACAACAACAATAACAACTTCATTTTATTGCAGCTTGGTGGAGTGGGAGCCATGCCCACAGAAGGACAGCATTGTATTGCTCTCTTTAGCATTTCAAGACCCAATGTATTTGATTTTTTCACTTGATGTCTACAGTTGTATCTGTGAGATCTTATATTTTTTTAACTTTTTGAAATAAATTTTAATTAACTTATTTGACAACATTTTATAGACATATATCATCAGGTTGGATGGACTTAATTATGAGCTTGGTCTGTTTTTTACCTAATTATCTATCTGGTATGCTGAGATAGTAACCTGTCTTGAGACTGAATTTTAATTGGAGTTTGCCCAAATCAGGTAAATAACCTTACATCAAATTGAGGATATTTACTTGTATATAGTGAGTAATAGATATAATTCATTATGCAGGTGAAAATGAGTTTTTCATTCCACTCAGAACAAGGAAATATTCTTTTTATTTTATGCTCAAACATTTTGGCATGGATTATGTTTAACATTGAAGTAGCAGATTTCCTATGGTGTTGTATGTGATGTGTTGTTGTGAGTATGATGTTTTACTGTAGCTTTAACAATTTTTCAATTATATCGCTACTATGTCTGCAGTGTGGCAGTTTATAGTGATGTCTAGCACTGGGGCATCATACTGCAAACATGTAGCATGATGTCCCACCCAGTCACATTATCATGACACCAGGCTGACCAGTCCTAACACTAACCTCTTAATGCTGAGCACTAAGCAAGGCAGCTGTTAGTACCATTTTTGTAAGTCTTTGGTATGACTCGACCAGGAATCAAACCCATGACCTCCCGCATCCGAGGTGGACGCTTTAACCACAAGGCCACCGGAGTGATGCCATCTATTTAAAATGTTATGTTCTGCTTGGTTTTGTATATATTATTTATGAAAGATATCAGTATGCAAGATAATTCTGTCAGAATTCAAAACAAATATAAAAATATTATTTAATGCATGTTGCAGGATTTGAATCTTATATTCTTGAATGAAAGATTGCTGCCATATTTACAGTGAGTCCAAGTGAGTGACAAAATGCTGGACCAGTGTCTGTTGAGTACAAAGAAAATTTTTTTATCTCCAAAAAAATTATTTATTTCTAAATCCACTAATTTATAGGTTAGCTTAAATAAAACCATTTTTTTGGTTCATTGGAATGAATAAATATGGCAGATTACTGACTCTTATAAAAGAAGATGTAAAGCATTTGTGAAATTGAGACGGATTTTTCATTATGATATATTCCATGTGTTTACTTTGGGATATGATTTGTCTATTGCTAAGAATAAGGATGTCAGACTAGGCTGAGGGCAACAATAAATGATTTGGGCAATTCCAGATATTGGGCAAAGGTCAGACAAGAAAATAGAAGTTTGATAAATATGTTTTACCCTCAAGAATTTCCTTGGTGATTTGATTCACAGGCTTGGTAATTTTAGGCTATGAATTGACAGTTGTGAAATATTTGATATTACGAAGTAACAATCAAAGAAGTATAATGGAGTATTGATAAATATAGTTTGGTATGAAGAGTTTGAGAAATTTGAAGAGGATTCAAATATGTGGTGCGAGTGTTTTTTGAAAATGAATTTTAAAGTTTACTTTTTAAAAAAAATTGAATTTTATATTTATTTGTTAATTAAGTATATATCATCTAGTGTGATAAATATTTTAAGTCAATTAAGGTTTTCATTTAAAACGAAACAAAACAAAAAAAAAAGAACGAAAATGGAACAAAGCAATGTTGTATAGGTTACTGATTTAGAAAGCAGAATTTGATTGATGTAGATTACAAGTATATTACTGTGGTATAGAAGAATTTGATGATTGCACATTTAAGTGTCTCTATGGTAGAAAAAAAATTAATATGAGATATTTATACCAGTATATGAAAACAAAAATACACAAACAGTAAAGCAAAATACCAAATATATTTTTTATATTATAATTATATACCAATGTTAACGACTTATATGAACTTGATAAACATTTTGTTTTCTGTTTGGATCTTAATACTGAGACAAAGACAGACCAAAACATTATTTTTTGTCTTGAAGTTTAACATAATTTGAAGGTTATATGATGATGTACGCCACTAATAACAAAGAAATGTATAGGAATCCATAATTTAAGAATAAGTTAATCCTTTGTAACAAAAAAGTCTAAGTGAAAGAGAGGAATTAAAAATATAAAATCCTGTTAATAATAAGTACCATACAATATACTAACTCATAAGCTGGTTCCCATCTGAGTAAACTCAGATCTGCCTTGATATAATATGTCGGTAGCTCTGAGTCTATTGAATTTGTTGGAGCTAATTTGTTGAACCAGCAATATAGACCTTGAGCCACCAGCACATTTGTTATTCATTTAAAATTAAATTACTGGACATTTTTATTGCAGGTGAACTTTTTAGGGTGTCAAATTCACCTATGTGCTTCCTAATTCTAAAAAAAAAACAAAGCTTGATAAACATTTTATTTTCTCTTTGGGCTGTAATACTACTTTCTATTTAATACAAGTAACCTTCTTCACTATTCGCAAATCTGAGGGAAAATTAGAATAAAAATATTATTCAAAGGTACAGTTAGTGTGATGTGATTAAAAACTTTTTTGTACAAGTTGGTTATTAGCTTATCACTAGGAAGAACTAATCTTTGGAGAAATGTGGTATTTCAGTTAAATATTTTTTTTTGTACAACTAGTTCATAACCAAGTTTTGCAATATAGGCAGATTTTTCACCCTGATATATTCCATGTATTTGCTTTGGTTATGATTTGACTAATGTCCAAGATAAGCGGAGTCGGACTGGGCTGTGGGCAACAAAAGATGATATAGATCATGTTATAAATCAGGCAAAGGTCAGAAAAGGAAATAGAATCATTGATCAGAATGTTTGGACTTTGAGAGTTAAAGAAATTCCTAGGCAATTTCTATGAAGACTCTATCTTTCAGACCATATCAGCCTGCATGTAGTGATGGATACTGTGAGTTCCTTAATTTCAGCATTAAATGGAAAAAATGTTCATCCATATAGAAATGACCTTACAGAACCAGGATGTCAGATCAGTGGATTTTAAATTTTTTTTTCAGTAGATGGGCTTGAAAATCATTGGAATTTTGAATAGTCATACATTTTGCATGTTTTTTTTTTAAGGGAATTGTAAACAAAATATACCATATATAATTGCTTATAAGTTAAGTCAATCAGCAATCAACAAAGATCCTGATCTGCTGTAGCATAATTAATTGTAAAGTCAGGGTCTATGTTGTTTGTTCTACAGATTACTCCTAACAAACTGCACAGACCCAGATCTGTCTATGCATTATGTGGCTTCAGATCTGGGTCTGTGCAGTTTACAGTTGGACTCATCTTACAAGTGAGTACATATGGTAGGCATATATTATTTTTTTCTCCCCATTGTTTTTGTTCATATTATATATTTAAAAAAAACAGTTTTGAACATAAATCAGATTTTGATTGCAAATGTTAACAAATACATGGGTGCCCAGAGTGACCTGTGTGGTCTAAAGCACTGCCATCTCACCTCCATCTGCATGGTTTTGGGTCTCCAGTTTGGCTAACAACAAGAGTACATGAGAAAGCTTCCCAGTAGATTCTCATAGGTCGTGGTACTTCCAGGGGTTTTCCAGGGTTCTTCCTCCACTAGTTATACTGGCCACAATGTATAGCCTATCTTGTGCTGAAAATTGCCATTTAATTCTACAACAACAACAACAACAACAACAAAATAAACACAGGTCATATTGTTTTCAATTAAATGAACAAGAAATAACTGTTTATCTCATAATTCACTGCAGATATTTTGAATGACATCTACAAAAATTTTTAGTTTCCTTCACATATTCAAAGCCTGGTTACCATTGCTAAAATTCATTCTGATTATTAAGTTTCACCTTAATTGGCTTTCCTATGTGATGGTATCTGATTATGATTTGTGACATCATTTCTTCCTCCATATACTTTCTTAAAATATACTTTGCATGAGGCACACATGCAAATTCTGTACCATTACATTTCAGATGCATCTTTTTAAACTCTGATTTCCAAACATTATGGTATTTATTGTCATTTTTAGCTCATGCTTTTTCAGCATTGTAGGAAGGACTTGTATTGCCATTTTTGACATATGTAGACCAAATAAGAAACAATAGCTACTGTTAAATAATCCTCATAAAGCATTTTAAAAAAACATAATTAAACAAAAGAAATATTGAAATACTTTCACAAACATTTCTGCTAAAATCATTGGAGTTCATTTTGTCTAGCCAACATTTTTTAGCAAAGATCACTATTGATTCCATTAATACTTACAACACTTTGATAAATTTCCTGCTTTTGACTTTAAACTGTGTATGTAAGTGATTTGGATTTTCATTGTAGCTTTAACAATTTTTCTGCCATATTGCTATGATGTTTGCAGTGTGGCAATTCATAGTGATGTCTAGCACTGTGGTATCATGCCACAGATATGTAGCATGATGTTCCACCCAGTCACAATCCTGACACCAGGCTGATCAGTCCTAACACTAACCTCTTAATGCTTAACACATAGCAAGGCAGCTGTTTGTACCATTTTTATCAGTCATTGGTATGACTCGGAACCCACATTTCAACATCCCACATCTGGGGTGAATGCTCTAACCATTTGGCCACTGGAGTAGTCCCAGATCAAGTGAATAATAAAAATATGACATAAAAATCTTAGATGGAATAAAGGAGATCAGAACAGAGATATAGAATAGATTAAGATGAGAATATAAGTTTAATTAATTATATAGGCAAAATGCAATTGAACATGACATTTGAATGATATTCTTCTCATAGACAGTAATTGCCCAGTTTGTATAAATGCAATTAGCTATTCTGTTTACAAATTTCATGATAACATCATGTGAGCAATGAAACTAAATTGGATATTGTTGACAAGTTAGAATCAATTTATTCCTTTTCCTTTTTTCTCTCTATTTTGCCTCTTTTGGTTGATGGACTAGAATTTGGTTGTCTCCTCTCTGCCCTCTCTGGATTTGCATATATGAGCTATTTCCCTTTTAAAAAAAATTAGACCACTTAAAATAATTGTCAGGTTTTTATATCAGGATTGAACATTATCCCATCTCTCATTACATCAAAAAAAATTGTCCAGTTGTAATTCCATAGAAAGGGAGACCTATAAATCATTAACTGGATTAATTGTCTGCCAGCAGGCATTTGATTTCCCAGTTAAAAGAATTCACATCCTAATTGTACAAATGAACCAATGAAATTCATTTCTTGTCTTCACTACCTTTTTTGCTGACTACCATTGCATCACATGAATATCATGTGACATACAACTACTCATTTCTCAGTATACATGATTCATAACATTCAAGATAAATAAATTCACAGTCATCTCAAGTAAATCTTAGGAAATGTATGAAATTCTTAGAATAAATCAGTCATAAATGATAATGAACAAGATAAATGAACAGAATTATTTTCTAAACTCATATCAAAGGAAAACTAATGTATAAATTTGAAAGAAATAGATTCAACAAAAGATTACAAACTCATATCAAAGAAAAAATTGCATGAGATTCAGAAAAATACCTTGTGCTTTCAAGACTCACTTCTATAATAGCAAAATCTCTCAATACCTTTTAAGTTCCATGTCCTTCAGACTTCCAGACACCCATCCCTTGGACAGTTTATTTAATGAGAAAAGATTCTTGCTAGATTTCATCTGAACCAAGTCTGCTACTTGCAAAACTTAGACTAATCTTGCTGTGGAATATGCTAAAAACATTGAATGTCACCAGCACACACCACTTTTTTAA